GTTTAAATATTAGAAGTTTATTCGTCAGGCAAAGTTTGGATTTCCTGTTTATAAGAGGATACAAACATTTTATATATTTGTTACATTTGGCTTGAATGCCCTTAATGTGATCTTTAAAAGTTAATTTTTGGTCAAGTATTAATCCAAGATATTTCACTTGGTTTGACCAGGAAATTGGAACTCCGTTCATAGTGACTATGTGACTACTACTAGGTTTCAAAAACGAAGCTCTAGGCTTATGTGGAAATATTATAAGTTGAGTTTTGGAAGCGTTGGGAGAAATCTTCCATTTTTGTAAATAAGAAGAGAAAATATCTAAACTTTTCTGCAGTCTGCTGCAAATAACACGAAGACTTCTTCCTTTAGCGGAAATGCCTGTGTCATCAGCGAACAAAGATTTGTGGCAACCCTGAGGCAAATCAGGGAGGTCCGAAGTGAAAATGTTATACAATATAGGCCCAAGAATGCTACCCTGAGGAACTCCTGCCCTAACAGGTAGTCGATTAGATTTGGAATTTTGATAATTTACTTGAAGAGTTCTGTCAGTTAAATAATTTTGAACTAATTTCATAATATAAAGTGGAAAATTAAACTTTTTCAATTTAGCAATCAAACCTTCATGCCAAACACTGTCGAATGCTTTTTCTATGTCTAGAAGAGCAACTCCAGTTGAGTGGCCTTCAGATTTGTTTGAACGAATTAAATTGTTAACTCTTAAGAGTTGATGAGTAGTTGAATGCCCATGGCGAAATCCAAACTGCTCATCTGCAAAAATTGAGTTCGTATTGATGTGAAGCATCATTCTATTCAAAATTATCTTTTCAAAAAGTTTACTTATTGAAGAAAGCAAACTTATTGGGCGGTAGCTAGAAGCTTCAGCTGGATTTTTATCCGGCTTCAAAATTGGAACAACTTTTGCATTTTTCCATTTATCAGGAAAGTATGCCAAATGGAAACATCTGTTAAATAATTTTACCAAGAAAGACAAGGTACTCTCTGGGAGTTTTTTGATGAGGATATAGAAAATTCCATCATCACCTGGAGCTTTCATATTTTGAAATTTTTTAATTATAGACCTTACTTCGTCCAAATCAGTCCCCCAGGAATCATCAAAAATATTTTCCCGAGAGAAAATATTCAGAAAATCCCGAGCAACCTGATTCTCAATAGGACTAGTAAGACCCAAACTGAAATTATGGGAACTCTCGAATTGCTTAGCAAGTTTCTGAGCTTTTTCCAAATTTGTGATCAAAATTTTACCACCTTCTTTAAGCGCTGGAATAGGCTTTTGAGGTTTTTTCAAAATTTTTGTGAGTTTCCAAAAGGGTTTGGAACTCGGGTCTAATTTAGAAATATTATTTTCAAAAGTTTTTTTCCTCAGGGCAGAGAATCGCTTTTTAATTTGTTTTTGCAAATCCCGCCAGATAACTTTAATGGCAGGATCGCGTGTTCTTTGATATTGTCTCCTACGGAAATTTTTAAGACGGATCAAGAGCTGAAGATCATCGTCTATTATAATTGAATCGAATTTAACCTCGCATTTTGGTACTGAGGCAGCTCTTGCTTCAACTATAGAAGTAGTCAGAGATTCAAGAGCATAATTAATTTCATCTTTGGTTTGCAAAGGAATGTTTGGATCGAAGTTATATTCCATAAATGTTCGATATTGCTCCCAATCAGCTCTATGGTAATTGAAAGTAGAGCTGTTGGGATTACAAATTATTTCTTGGGATATTTCAAAAGTTACTGGAAGGTGATCAGAACCGAAGTCAGCATGGGTAACCAATTGGCTACAAAGTTGACATGAATCAGTTAAGACCAAATCAATAGTGGAGGGATTTCTTATAGAAGAAAAGCATGTTGGGCTGTTTGGATATTGAATAGTGTAATAACCTGCAGAACAATCATCAAACAGAATATTACCATTGGAATTGCTTTGAGCATTATTCCATGAGCGGTGTTTTGCATTAAAATCACCAATAATGAAGAATTTAGACCTATGACGGGTAAGTTTCTGGAGGTCACCCTTGAGAAAATTCTTTTGCTGGCCTACGCATTGGAATGGCAAATAGGCAGCTATAAACGTAAGTTGTCCAAATTTTGTTTCAACAGAAACTCCCAAAGTTTCAAAAACTTTGGTTTCAAATGAAGAAAGAATTTTATGTTTGATTCGTCTATGAATAATGATGGCAACGCCACCACAGGGTCAATCAAGACGATCATTTCTATAAATCAAGTAGTTTGCGTCCTTCTTAACCTTATGGGCAGGTTTAAGGAACGTTTCAGTTATAACGGCAATATGCACGTTATGAACTCTTAAAAAGTTAAATAGCTCGTCTTCATTATCTTTAAGAGATCGAGCATTCCAATTTACAATATTTAATGCTTTAAAATCCATTACTGAATTTTAAAGTCATGACAATATTATTTGCAAATTTTACTCCAGTTTGAATAGCATCAAACATGGAGTTAGATTTAAGCATATCAGAAATCATGTCAATTAATGAATTCTGTAAAAATTCCATTTTGGGGGCAGTAATGCTTCCTAAGTCAAAATTGTCAAAATTTCCGTTAGAACGGTGGTTAGTATTTTGATTTCTACCCGCTGCAATAGCAGCATAGGTAGCTCCATTAACTCGCTGAACATTGTTAGCAGCGAGGGGAGTAGGTACAGATGAAACATTTGAAGCAGGGGAGATATTTGTACCTACGGGTACGAATGTAGAATTTGTTCCTCGCTGACCGTTGTTAACAGCAGAGGAATTTGTACCTGGTCGGAAACGTGGAGCGTTTCCTACCTGACGGTTAGAACGAGATTGTAGGATCGCTTTGCGAGTCTTACATTCCCAAAAATTGGATTTGTGGTTTTCACCACAATTTGAACATTTAAATTTCTTAGGATCCTCCTTCACAGGACAGTCGTCCTTTGCGTGAGAGGAATCACCACAATTCATGCATTTAGCTGGCATGTAGCAATTTTTAGTTCCGTGACCCCATCCCTGGCACTTACGGCACTGGGTGAGGTTTTGGAAATTTCCTCCAGTCTTCCTGAAGTGTTCCCACTTCACTCGGACATGGAGCATAAGGCTAGCTTTTTCTAAGGCCTTAAGGTTGTTTAGTTCACTAGACTTGAAGTGAACTAAATAAAAATCATTAGAAATCCCGTTGCGCGAATCGCCAGGACGGGATTTCATTTTCATTTTGATTACTTGGAGTGGCACAACTCCAAGTAATTTTGCCAGTTCATCTTTGATCTGATCCAGGGATTCACCACTGGGCAGTCCTTTCATGACAACCTTGAACACACGTTCAGTTTTGGTGTCGTAAGTAAAAAATTTGTGCTTCTTCTCAGTAAGATACTTGAGAAGACATTTAAATCCGTCCAAGGTTTCAGCCAATACACGGCATTCACCCCGACGTCCAATTTATAGTGAAAACTTAACTTTCACGAAATTCAAAAGTTCCATGCGAAGAGCATGGAAATCGGTAGTGGTTATCACAATAGGGGGAATCTTTTCCTTCTTGGCATTAAGCCGGGAAAGTTTACTAGAATTTTTCTTGGATGATGGATCATTCTCATCATCCGTGAGCAAATCAAATTGATTACTCAAATTAATTTCATCAGAAGGGGGGTCAAGAGTTTGCCCCTTTCTTTTGCGTTTAGGCGCCATGGCGGCAGTAAATTTTTATCCAATTCGACTTCCAAGCAGATTACTATAAGAATCTGAAGGATCGAAGAGGAATTTTCCAAATCGATATCCAAGAAGGATTACCTCGGGTAGGGTCTAAACAAGGATCGAAGAGGAATAAGAGTTGGAACAAGGTAGAAATTTTTTACAGGTTGAGCACTGAAAAGTGCTGTTTAAATTTGTTGTAGCTTTAGGTAGTAGTAACACTTCCTTCAGCAAAAAGCAAATAGATCCGCACGGCAAGAGAGCACGATGCGGACTGACCCGTCGCGCGTTAGTTTTCAGTTGTGTGTGATTCCGTTGCTGTGTGGAAGAAAGGCAAGTGAGCTTCACCTATTGGATGACACCTACCTGCTGCAACCGGAGGAGCCTATGCTGATCGTCGTCTCACCTGAATATTCTGCTGCTGCCACTGCCGCTGCCCGTGGAAGTTAATCGCTGCTACGTCACCTGTAAGGAAGAAAAAGGAAGAGAAACCCGTCCCAGTACATGCAAACCCGAAGCCCGTCCCGCAAAATTGCCCGGTGAGTCAACCCGTTGCCCATCATTTGGTGCCGTGACCAGGATCCTGGTGTCCCATTCCCGACCGCGTGAAGTCATCAGAGTAACCTCACTTCGACGCTATTGTGCCCGCATTAGAGTGGCCCAAATCAGCTCGTACCCATTGGAAAAATTGTTCCCGGATCGTGATTTTGGAAAACAAGTGAGTACCTCTCCAATACCTCTACGTCCATCATCGCGGTACTTCTTGGATCTTTTTTGACCATTTCAACCTTACTGCTTGTGCCGTGTTTACGAGATGCCTGACGAAAAACGGATCAAGATGAAGGAGGCTAGAAGAAGGAATGCCATCGAAGGAATCAATCGAATGGCTCAGTTTTTCACCGACTACGTTCCCGAGCAGCATCAGCATGAAGTTTCCCATCGATTCGATCGTCTGGAGAAGGTGTGGGGCGTATTCGAGTCCCTGCCGGAAGAATGTGAAGATCTGGATGACTCCGAAGAATCTTTGGAAAAGAACTTGGAGATATCGTAGGTGCAGAAGTTCCATTACCTTCGGGCTGCCCTGAAGGGAGAGGCAGCCAACTTGATCCAGTCGATAACGATAACGGCGAATAATTACGCTGTCGTGTGGGAGACGTTAGTGAATCGTTACTAAAACAAGACAATTCTCCGAAAAAAAACACATCCGAGCCCTGCTCAAGTACCCGAAGATCCAGAGCAACACCGTGCAAGCGCTTCATCAAATTGTGGATGAGTTTCAGCGCCACACCAAGGTTCTGGAACAACTCGGGGTGCTAGTCGATCATCATGCCAATCCTCATCGAGCTGCTCGAGGACAAGTTGAACGACGCTTCGGTTTCCGCATGGGAAGAATCAATCACAACGGAGGAACACCCTACGTACTCTAAAATGGTCGAGTTTCTGCAGAAGCGAGCGCGCGTATTTGAGACGATTTCTATCAACCGACCTCAGCATGTTAATCCCAAGTCCGTTAATCATCCTTCAGCTCCGAAGAAATCAAACCAGCCCCGATTCAGCACATATGCAGCAACTGAAATTGCAGCAAATTCGTTCAACGGTCTCGATTCGAAAGGTCGCATGAAGGTGGTTACGGACAAGAAACTTTGCAGCAACTGCTTCCGTAGTGATCACTTTGCCCGTAACTATCGCTCGATGTATTCTTGCAAGCATTGCTCCAAGCGACATCATTCGATGCTCCATCCGGGGCCATACGAGCTCAACTTGCCAACCACCGATGAGAATGCAGTATCTGGACCTGCAGAATGAGAATGCAGTATCTGGACCTGCCAATCCAGGTTCTTCCACTATGCTTGCAGCCGTTTCCGCTGTTCCCGTCAATGAACCCCCGTCTTCGATGGCAGTGGCTCAATCAACCAGTGTTTTCCTCATCATCGTAGTCTTGCTGGTAGTAGATAGTAGATAAGATAGATAGTAGTAAGTGATAACAAGTTGCTCGTTTGCGAGAATGAATATTTACATCACAATTAAAATTCAGAATTTTTTGCTGTGCATATACTGCCGCTCATCGCAAGTCGGTTCCATATGGAAATGGTATCAAAATAAATTTTGAGTATGTTTGGGCAGTTCCATGAAATCCAGAAAAGCAGTGAGAACCTTCAAGAAATTTCAAAAACCTAGAGAACGTAAACGTCGCAAAGTTTAGAGGTCTTTAGAGCAGTTCTATTAATTTTAAGGCAATTCCAAGAACATCCTCAGAAAAAAAAAGAACTCCAGGAAAGATAAGAGGACTTCAGGATGGTCAACAAATATTGTAGGAACTTTGAAGAACTTCTATGAAATGAAAGGAAATATCGAGCATTTAAAAAAAATGTTTCATGAACAGACTACGGAATAATAAGGAAGCTTCTGTAACATTTCGGGCACTTCAGGGTAGCTTCGAGAACTTCAATGTGGTTTCATCAGCTTCAGAAAAACTGCACGAAGTTTTAGGAATTTATTAGATCTTCAAAGATATCCAGAGCGCTTAAAGAAAACTCCAGAAAGCATGAGGAAAATTGTGAAAAGTTTAAAAAAGAACCTCAGGGAGATAGCTCTAAAGATTATCAGGAGAGGTCAGAGATCTTGAGGCTGTCACAACAACTTCAGGGATGTCCAGACTTTCAGGCAAGTTTAAAGATCTGTGAAAGTTAGTTTGATGAATTCAGGACTTCACCATGAACGTCAGCAATTTTTTTTAGATATTTTATGAATTTCAGGTAAGTCCAAAGAACGAGAATTTTTGAAAACTTGAGGCATATTCTGAGAATTTCATAGAAATTTTCAGTAAAGTTTAATGATTTTTAGGACAGTTCCATTCATATCAGAGTAGTATCATGAACTTCAGGGAATTGCTAGAACTTCAGGATGGCTTCGAGAGCTTCAGAGCAGTTCTATTAGCTTCAAGAAAATAACAGAAACTTTATAAAAATTCCAAGAAATTCTGAATTTCTGATAACTTCTGAAAAGATCCGACATTGTCAGGAAAGACCAGAGATCTTTAGTGAAGTTTAAAGAATTTATATGCAGTTTTACTATTATCACGTATTTCGAGGAAGATCAGAAATCTACAGAGCAGTTCCATTGATTAATTGCAGGAGCTTTTAAGAAGTTCCGAAAAATTATGGAATAATCCGAGCATTTCAGGATTGTTCTGAAAATTTCCGTAAATATGCGGGGTCGTCAAGGAAGTTCCATGAATATCAGGAAAATTGTATCATTGCTAGAAAAGTTCCGAGAACAGAAGAAGTGTGCCAGTTATGGTAATACCCAAGTAACCATTTATGTATAGCCGTATATTATAATTAATTAAGGGGACTTATCGGGCTATTAACGGGTTTGGTGGTTACTTGGGTAGTGCTTCTCTAATTGGCCTTAAGGCCTAAATCATGTTCAAAATAAGTTTATCCAAACTTTTCAACGTAGGCATGCAGAACAGTATTTACACTAACATCTCGGGAAGATTTTTTTTAAATTTAATGATAACTTTTACTAGTGTCATAACTGGTACACTTCTCCTACTTTAAAAATTAGAAGACGTAAGAGAAAATTCGAGAACTTCTTGAATATTTTGGAAAATTCAGAGAAGTTTAGAGAATTTAAATAAATGTCCATGAGCCTTAAGGAAGTATCGAAAATATCAGACACAATATGGGATCTGCAGGATAAATCAAAGAACTTAAGGGCAACTCAATTATCTTCAGGCAAATTTGTGGAAATTTTCTAAAATCCTCTGAGAAATTCAGGTCAAAAGAACATCATTGAAGAAGACTTGTTTTAAATCATAAATATTTTAAAGCTGAAATAAAAACGGTATTGACATCCGCCGCCATTTTGGAATTCAATATGGCGAACCAGAATACAATATGACGGCCTCCGGACAGTGAATATGCATCTGAACCCACGCAATATTGGTATCTATGGAATGGGCTACATGAGTAGAAGTGGAAAATCAACATGCTCCGCCATTTTAGAATTCATACGAATTGGAGCGGATTTTTTGAATGTTTAGCCATAATTAAATGTTTCAATGTCATAATTTAAAACAAAATCTGTATAATCTGTGTACAACCTTCAAATCTATGATCTGTCTGGTTCAAAAAGAAAAACTGAAAAAAATCTATAGCAATGCAGATTAATCTGTAGTTTTGGCAACCCTGGCGCTGGCACTGTTCTCTTATATATTGGCTTCTGGTTGACAGCAGTCATGCAAACAATAGTTGGTACAGTGAGGTTCTATGATTTACACGATGTTTTAGGCGATGCTTAACGTCCACCAAGGTTCCAAAAGTATATTGTAAACAGATTTATCTATTGGAATCGATGCGTAGAGAAGAGTCCGATCGATTGATGCAGAAATATTGAAAATGTTTCATGGAATATCCGAGTTATAATCGTTCAAATTCTGACCACTTTTCGTTACATGTTCATTTTTTCTACTCGGAAAGTGTATTTTCACGTAGTCTTACGTCAAAATATCAATGTTCATATCAGTCAAAAAAAAATGTTTCAGAATCAAAAAATTGGTAGGGAAACCACTCTCTCCCATCACGAAAACGCCTCGTTTTCTGATGACAAAATTGCGCAAGCGAACTTTCAATGAAAATCAACTCTTAAAGAACAATAATTTGTGGTGGTCCTGAAAAAATAAAAAAAACTTATTTATGGTGATGGTTGAGTAATGCTGAACTATTAGGGTCATCACGGATGAGGCCGGCGAGCTATACGTTGTTTGGAACGAGGGTGACGCGCTTAGCATAGAAGTTTTTTTTTTAAAGTTTTGCGAACTTCTTAGCATTTTGAGGAGCTGCGTGAAACTTCAAGTGTAAATAATTTTAAAAAAATCAGGGAATTTTGTATAAGATCTAAAAATAGTTCAATGAACTTCTGACAACTTCAGGGATCCTCGCTTCAGCTTAGCGAACTTCGTTGCAGTTTGTCAGAGATCTTACTTCAAAAAAGCTCCATGAACTTCGTGGAGGATTTGGGAACTTCGTTAGATGTTCAAGAATATTCGTAGATGTCTTAGGTGTCTTTCCAGAAGTGTAAAGAGAGATGGAAAAAAATATCTAATGTGGAATAAATTCAGGGAACTTCGTAGAAGTTGAGGAAATTTTGTAAAACTTAAGGGAGTTTTGTAGATGTTCAGGAAACGTTGCATATGTTACAGGATATTCTTTCAGACATTCCTCCTAGACAGCTGGACATATTCAAAAGATTTTCATATAGACAAAGATATTCCCTAATAAACGGGTACCATACACTAACGATATCATAGATGATAGGAACATACCACATAAAGTTCGGATGATATCCCGAATTGGTAGTTAGGCGCATCTTATGGTTATTGTTTATGTGGGTTAGTAATGATGTCTTGATATTTTTCCATGATCAAGCTCTGAGGATCTACAATTGTTTAAAAATTCAAATATTCTTTCAAGATTGTAGGTTGTTCAGGAAGTATAAAAAAAAACATTTCCAGCTTATTGAATCTGATGGAATCTTGAATGATGAATCTAGATTTATGGACCTGATTGTACATTCACTATAGGGAACACCGGTGCCTTCCAACAGCTGAATTCCGGAAATTTATACTTCTTGAATTTAATTTTTGTATTCTGATGATGAAATATTCAAAATTAAACAGCTAGTTGTAAATTCATTGAATACCTAACTCTGAGAATTTTCTTAAGTTTGAGATGCTTAAATTTATGAGATCTGGACACTTTGTGATTTTATTACAAAAAGCATGAACAAACGATCTTTACAAAAAGCATGAACAAACAAAGCATCGAGAAAAGTGGTTCATGTGCACTATTATAAAGCCTCTACCTCTACTCAGCGATCTTGTTGTAGAAGGGCATGTACATTTGTTTGCGTCCGTTCAAAGTGTTGGCGTAGCGAAGTTGGTAGTATCAAGGTTCGCTAATGCGGTCGTCGAGTTCGATTCCAGATTCCGGTACAGTGTAAATCATTTGGTGGTGTGCTTATAACTAATTTCGATTAATTTAATTAGCAGTAAAATAAACTTGAAAAATGCCTCCACCAAAAAAAAAAAGCGTTAACAATATTCAACCTGGCGTCAAGAGAAAACTGTGTAGTGATTATTGGATAATTGGGTAAAGGTTGAGTAAGCGCCTTTGAAGTTTACACACAAAAACAGCAGAATAACAGCTGTATAGAAGTGTAAATGGATATGCAATAAGAGCTTGTCACTACCGTGTCAACAGCCATAAGTAGCTGACTAAGTTCGCCAGATTTGTTTGTATAGAGGTGAGTAAATGTTTCCTCATATCGTATAACATTTTAATACAGCTTGAGGCTGTATAAATGAAATGAGTAAAGCGTTTACATTGCGATAATTCTTAGTTGGGATGTCTTCATTTAGAAGACACTTTAAATCCCGGGAAGACTTTTATTCTCGGCAGACATTTTGAAGACATTTCATGTTTTGTGAAGACTTTTTAAGACATATGAAGACATTCGGAGATTAAAGTTGATTTTGGATTCATATATTGAGCAGATTCTTAAAAATGGTTATTATGAGCACGAGTGTAACCAGGTTTCAAAATAGAGGGGGCAAACTTTCGAGTTAGGTGATCATATTTCAAAGGAAGGTAAATCTGCTACGAAAATCATATCATAGTCTCGGAAACTCGAATAGAAATTTTTCAAGCCTGAAATTTTAAATGTGTACAAAATTGAAACATCGGAAATCGTTCTAAATCTTAGATCTCATAAATTACCAGTGCCCTTGAGCTTCAAAAATT